GACATTTATGAATGATATTCTATTTTCTTGTATGTTTACTGATCTTAACCTAAAATATATATCGAAAGAGATCAATTTGTACTTCAAGATTCTATATGGTTCCGCTAGATTCCATTCGATTCCATTGAATTCCATTGGATTCCATCGGATTCCATTGGATTCTGTGAGATTCTATGAGATTCCGTTGGATTCCGTGAGATTCCAGGATTCCGTGCTTTCCCCCTTGCGTTTACCATAATCCATATACTTTTTACTTGGATTCGAATTTTGGCCTGCATTAATCTTCACTATCTGACAATGAATATAATTTTCTTCTTTTTGGATACTTTCGATAAAAATCCCGAGAGATGTTGACGGATGTTGACATTGAATAACCGAATTAATTGGCCTTCTATGCCAAGCTTCGACAGAATTATTTGTGCGCATTGAATGGTTGATTGTCCGCTGATGCATGTTCCATAACTCAATTGGAAATCTTGGTGTTGCACGTCCATTAGGCCGCCGTCCTCCGATGTATGTGTCTTCAAAATAATCCATTAGTGGTTGTAATATTGGTGGTAACGACAGGTAAAACTCATCGAAGTCTTGACTGACTTCGGACGGTTGAAGGAATGCTAGTGCAGCAATCTTGTTTACATCATACGCAAAACTGGAATCATTTTCATAAGCGTTTTTCAGCCCTAATTCCTGATAATTATACAATACAAAATGACACACATGGCTCAGCTATCCGAAAACGTTACTCACCTGAACTTTTCGTTGTACACTATTCTGAAGATGGAAAAAAACAGCCCGATATTGTTGCTTGATTTGTGCTTGTAACAAAACTTCCCTGAAAGCATTAATAGCAGCTTTTTCGAAATCCACCATTATCGATTTCGGATTCCACAAAGGACATATATGAACCAGTTCATTAATTATTCTTTGATATGTTCGCTGATATTTGTCCGGCAGTAATGCAAATACTAACGGGAACATATTATTTCGATAAACGCCGTGTATAGTATATAACTGATAAAATATTACTGGTGTAACCTAATAAAAGGTAAATAGCATAACTTTTTGGTGGAGAAAAGTCAATATTAAAATACTATACATACCTTAAATGTTCCATCGATGAATACTTCTTCAGTATCCTCAAGTATTTTCAATTGATCATTGGATGAAAATATGATCAAACAATTATCACCAGGTCCAGAATCAAATTGTAGAAACTTATCGTGTCGCATTGTTGTTGTTAATTCTGCTGGTATTGTGTTGAAATTTTTATCATGAGAAATTCTAGAAAAATCATTTCTTTGACGACGTCAAAGAAATGTCAACGTCAACGTCAATTTGACGTCGACGGTGAATATTTCGTTTAATATGTTTGAAATCAGGAATACGAGCTACCAATTGATCAGATACGTTTTTTAAACAATTATTAATAACATCTTGCGTACTTTCATTAGTATTAACGGCGCGAGAGCGTACTTTGTCTTCGACTGATCGCACTTCGTTGGATACGGCACTTGGAGGATGGTTATGGTCAGAATTATCGAGTAGAACGGTTGTGTTGTTGACGTCTGTATGAATTCTTCTTTTACACTTTATCGTTCGACAATGTGCACATTTCCAATACGTTTTTTCATCGGTGGTTTTGTCGACTGTGTAATTATATCCGTTAAACATCAATAATGGTTTATTTCGCTCAGTTGTACTAATGGTTATAGCAGACATGATTTGAGAAAATCGAATGGTAATTTTTCTTCTATTGATCGGCCATATATACGGTTGAGCAATCGGATTATCTACTTAGTACCCATTTCATATGCTTTTTGATCAGTTGTTCTTTCCTTTCTAAACTAATTGCGACTTGACGGTACGCTAATCTACTTTGACTACTTGATAAGCCCATAAGACGGCATATTGACCAAAGTTCCTCTCTAGTTAATGTTATGCATGCGACCAATTCTACCGTGAGGCTAATTGTCGTAGAGCCCAGTTGTTCCTTCGACCAGTTGTCTGCAACCAATTGTCGCTCGGCCAATTGTCGCTTTGCCGATTAGACTCCGTTTTTGATGCGGAATCCGAATATATCGAATTCGAAAAATTACAGTGCGTTCACTGTAATATATCGAATTCGAAAAATTACAGTGCGTTCACTGTAATTTTTCGAATGAGGGTGAGGGGGCAAAATCTCAAGTTTTCTTAGAATGATGCAGATTTTTTGTTTGAGGTCGCTCATACTCGTTTTCTGATTCCCAATAGTCGAATACCTATTCCATATCGCTTTTCGTCCAATCAAGTCTCTGCAACTAAAAAGTTGTGTGTCGCTAGTATCTAGACAAACATACATCCAGGCATTTTAACTCGATAAGATCCTTTCCTTTACAGTCAAGGGAATATCATTTTCATCCATTCATGTGGAAATGATATTTTCGATCAACAGGAATCACCGTACAGGTTACTTTTTAGTAGCGGAGACTTGATTGGATGAAAACGATATGGAATAGGTATTATGGAGAATCAGAAAATGGCTATGTACGACCACTAGGATCGATTCTATTGGTCGAAAACTTCATCTGAACTTGATTGGATGAAAATGATATTCCCTTGACTTTAGTCTTGGGTCTTACAAGATGGTTGTCTGGATGCCTGTGTGTGTCTATGCGCAAAATATAGAAAATTGGCTGCAAGATACTTTTTTGTATTTCTGGAGGTCCCTCATAGCCATTTTCTGATTCCTCATAGTCGACTTATTCCACAAGATAACGCTCGTCTGCACTCGCTCGGTCCATTGGCTTTAGGAACGTATATGTACGGAACGACCTTCCATGACTTTGAATCCAAAAGAACGCTCACGTTATGATTTTTCTTTGATTTCAGCTTTAAGCTTCGTAATCTAATCTAAATCTTGTTTTCTCTGGACTCTCCAAAGATCCTCAGAGGTCTAAAAATATTTCTGAATTCAGGAGAATGCTCACGCCTCCCTTCGGTCGGCGTTCGCACCCAGGATAGTTGAGAAATGTTGTAAACTTCTCTCATTCCACGGAGAAAGCGCACGATGTAACATAAAGCTTAAGCGTTTTCTGGACGCCCCCTGAAAATCCCAAGGGGCTGGAAGCATTCCTGATCGATTCATCATGTTAGACTATCTATAATCTGTAAGTTTTATTATTCGTAGATGACTTTTTGTGTTATCAAAACTGACTGATTTCTGGCCACATCTATCTTCGAACTGCAGAAACACAAAAAAATATCTGACAGCCATTTTTATATATTTTGCGCATAGACACACACACAGGCATCCAGACAACCATCTTGTAAGACCCAAGACTAAAGTCAAGGGAATATCATTTTCATCCAATCAAGTTCAGATGAAGTTTTCGACCAATAGAATCGATCCTAGTGGTCGTACATAGCCATTTTCTGATTCTCCATAGTCGAATACCTATCCCATATCGTTTTCATCCAATCAAGTCTCCGCTACTAAAAAATTGCGTGTCGCTAGTATCTAGTCTGCGGACAAACATACAAACATACATTCAGGCATTTTAACTCGATAAGACCCTTTCCTTTACAGTCAAGGGAATAGTGTCACGTTTACCAGGTAGCTGATACGAAACATCGTCACGAACATAGAAATTATAAAGATCTTTTTTCAGTTTTGCAGAAAGTTGAACTGAAGTACGATGATGAGTGGTTTAAGAATTAGACCAAATTTCTGAGCTAAATGTTGAACAATTATTTTTTTTTATCACATTTCGGCGAAGCCGAATTAACGGTTTCAAACACTTTCCGAACGACTGACGACTCTTGAATGTACTGGGAACTGTTTTTGTATTCAAAACGTTTTTTTTACTCTTACGAAAGTTAACTTGATCGATTTTATTTTTCAAACGGAATGCTGCCAGATCTAGACCGGTTAACTTCTCTCTCTTCGAATTGCCACGAACAAGAGCCTTAGCTTTCGCCGCTTCATATTTAGCCTTATCTTTTTCTATTTTCTGACGATATTTTTTCGCTCTCTCCGTCTGACTCATGGCCATTCTCTTATCTCACTAGGAAAGCCAAACAACACTTATCTAGTTGATCAGTACTCTTTTTCGCTTATTCCAGTAAAAATAGCACTCTATAATTCAGCTAAAAAGCGCTACCACTGATTAAGTTTTCGTAAATGCACCTGTTTAATGAAAAGAGTAGTTCGTTGGATTCACCGTTAAAAACTGGTTATATCGAATCGATTCTATTGGTCGAAAATTCCCTCGAAAATAGCTCAGCTTGATTAGATGATAATGATATTGTTTTGACTGCAAAGGAATGGGTTTTATCGAATTAAAATGCCTGTATGTTATGACTGCAGCCGGACAGACAGACACACATATTATTAGCGGGGCGATGGATACATCTATCTGTCTCTTAACACACGAGAGTAGTGAGCACATTGTGTGTGTTGTGTGCAGGGTCTTTTGAGAAACGAAGGGAAACTGGTAAATTCTATTGAGGTATCCATAAGAATAATGTCCGGTGCGAAAGGATCAAGGTTCAAGGCGAAATCCTGGTAGACAAGCATTTGTGTAAAAAGTAGCTCCGATTATTTAATCGTAGATACGGCTTTTTTCTTTCGATATCCGATAAGAAATTACAGTTTTACCAGTAAAACTAAAAATTTGCGGTCTTTTTTTGTAACTTCGTCACACTTCGCAAAATTGCTCTGGAACCTTGACACCAATTCTGAGAAACTTTATTTTTTAGCTGGAATTCGAAAAGCTGCGTCGAATGACGCTAGAATCAACTTTCTAGCTTGTGTGGTTCGCGGAAAAACTATAGTTTTGTGCGTCAAAAACGTAATTTCGTCACGTTTGGACAGGCTGTCAAGAAGAGAGTTAGATGATGGCAAATTAAAATCTATAGAAAATGATGAACAAAATGATGAAAGCTGAGAAAGAACTCCTGCATGTAATAGTAATTTTCCAAAAATCTGAGTCCAAACGCGGTGGTTGTCCAAACATGATTTCAAATGGTGTTGATTTTTGTTACACTTGATATTCTTGTATTGATTCCATAAACAACCGGCAAAGGCCTTCTGTCCAGTGATCTGAATTGTTTGTTGACATCTATTTACCCAATGCAACAGCTAAAACATCATTAGTTCGTTCTACGCAGCCTTGTGATTGTAGATGACGTTGACAACCTCGTACAAAACACATTTCCAGAAACAAATGTTTCAATTCAATAATGATATTAGCAACAAATTCTTTTCCATTATCGCATTATCGCCAACAAACGTGAACGACCAAAAACAAAACAAGAAATTTGTAAACTTATTTTGTACGAAAATACTCCTTCGGGTCTTGGTTATCGAATGCTGAGTACCCTAGATCTCTATGTCGCTTCGTTTAAAATCTATCAGAAAGCGAGTTTCTCTCCCGTGACGGAACTCTCCGTCGAGCATACATATTGAATGTGACAGAAACAGTAGCGTCAGAAACGTTGTTGTTGTATTTAATCTATAATTAAGTATATTATTAAATACAGACAAATAGAGGGCGCAATTTAACTAGAGCAATAACTAGTTCTGGGTTCTGGATTAAGTGAAGTCCATTAGAGTGTGATAGTTGTCACTTTTTGTTCGTTCAATCAATCATTGAATTTTTCATTGTTTCGTGGACAACTAATGAGTTGTTGCCATGTCGATTATCGGAATGAATGTCGGCAAATTGACTTTACTCTCCATAATCCAGCGCAAGCCATGTTCTCTCTGAGGAAAAAGTAAAAAACGTTATGTGTGTTTTTATGCATAAAACATTGCGGAGTTTATACCTGTAATGTCTGCTTCACCTCGTCTGAGGTCATGCGTGGATAGGCAGAGTCGATGAAGCCATCGCGCACAGGTAGAGTGCTCTTGCGATTAGCCATGCCGAGTGCAGCCGCCACTGCGTTGTACACAGTATTGGTGTACTGGTGAACATTCGTGCTTTCGTCTTTGAACTCGTCCTCATCCCATCGAGCGAGGAGACTCTCTTGCATGTGCCACTCTTCGATTTTACCAGGATGGTTCGAACACACACCCGCGTCTCCACCGCCATGGCGAAATGCATGCAGCACAGGGTGAATGTAGGTGCTCTTCTCGGTGTGGAACTGATCACTAGAATGAGTAAAGTGATGTGTGGGAATGTTCTCACCATACAGGTGGAATCCATACTGGAAAAGAATCTCCACACGGCCGACCCACGTGTTATTGCCAGCCCACCGCTGTCGTGCATAGTCCTGTGGAAGCGCCTCCCACACGTCGGCTTTGTAATTGGGTGTAGTAGCATCATCTGGCCGCGGTACAGCCTGCAATGTGATGGTGCAGCAGCCATAATTAAATAATTCAAACAGTGCTGCTGTTGAACTGACCATATGTACGATAAACTGGGCCAACGGTTCGAAGGTGTCATCGCATTTTGGATCCACAACGCACTGAAATAGGGGCGTCAGCGGTTGAGTATAGTGACGCTCCGCAATCACTGATCCGAGAGCCTGAATGTTGTAGCGGAAGCCATGGATGAAGCCAGATGCTGCATCGCGGTCGTTCACGCGCATGGATCCGCCGATAAAGTACAAGTTTTGCACATTTGTGCTCTCCCAAATCGGCGTCAACTGGCAGTACTTGCCGGTAGGATCGGCCAGCGGTCGCACGCGCTCAGTACTGAAAACGTCGGGCACAGTGTATTCGAAGCCGCAGCACACTATAACATGATCAGCCGGCAGCTCAAAATTTTTCCACACCGGAGTCTCCCAATGCGGCTCCGGCGTGGAAATCTTGAGGACAAGGCCACCATCTTCCTGGCGTGTAATTTCCGTCACACGCTCGGCGGTAATGGTCGTGAGTGCCTTGAGTTGAGAAAGATCGTAACTAACAGACGTCTGCGTGCGCACGTCATGCACGTTGTGTGTCTGACGCGCAAACTTGACGGCACTGCGGGTCAAGATAATGGTGTCGCCAACGATGGCCTTTAGTGCGTGTGCAACTTCAAATGCCGAATTGCCGCTGCCAAGAATGACGACGCGCTTGTTGCGGTAGCGCTCAATGTCATTGGGATCAAAGTCACGGTAGAATATCCCGTGCTCTAAAATGCCACGAATGTTGGGTACGACGGGACGACTTGTGCCGGTGGCCATGAACACCCGACGCGCCAGAAACGTTTCCCCTCCCGCAGTTTCGATGACAAACTGGTTGGAATCATTGCTGGTGATGCAGGTCACGTCACAATTGAAGCGCGAATGATCCGCGACGCGCCAATTGCGATGATTGCCTACATAATCCAAGTACTCTGCAAGGCGCTTGGCTTCTGGAAACAAACTGTCGGTCCAGTTGGTGAATAGTACCTTAGGATCCTTCTTGGAATCCTCTTCGGTGATGGTGCTGAGAGTGTGCCAGTCGTAGCGTCGTGCATACATCCAGCCTGGATTGTTCGCGAGCAGGTGCTTCTTGTTGAGAGAGATCAGCTCCCCGCACCTGGGAAAATAGGTGAACTGGCCGCCGAACTTCGATGAGCGCTCCAGCAAAACATAGGGAATACCACGAACTGCAAACTCCATTGCCATATTGATGCCGCCGGGTCCACCGCCAATAATTACATTGTCATACACTTCGTATGCGCTGCTATTTCTGTTGTTCGGGTCACTACCGTCAATGGCCTGTTCGACATTACAGTTGTTGTCGGAATTGGGAGGCGTCGTCGTCTACGGTTAAATAGTATTATATGTGAACGAATTTTCAAATGAATGCGAGTGAAAGTGTAGACCCTACCTTGTTCACAGTAGGCTTCACAGTGATAGCCTGTTGAATTGTCTGACCTCCTTCAATAGTACCCATCATACCAATACTATACAAATATAAATATATATATACAAATATGCCCAGAAAACACGTGGGCATCTCGAAAGTAAAGCAAGATGCTATTAATACAAAAGGTAAGCAGAAAACTTGATTTGATCGAAACTAAACATGGTTGGATAGAGGTCGACCTGGAGATCACGTATGTGTCCTTTTCGTACGTTTTCAATGAAGTTTTCAGTATACAAGTCGGTTGAGGATTTATCAGCTGATTTTTAGGAGTCTCAAAGATTACATTTGAAAAGAAAGCCAATTATAGTGACGGTTCCTGCGGCAGCCATGCAATTGAATTCCCTTTGAAAATTGATCTTATGTTTATTTTTAGTGACTTTCCTCTACAACTTCGTATTTCTGTCTTATACACGTATATCCTAGCGTGTCCTCGCCCTCTTTTGTTTGACTGCATCCCGTTTTGAAGCAATTGACGTATTTTTCAGCAATCTCCTTTAGTGCACATGATGTACAACCGATTTTTTTCCATAGGATTAATGACAAGACTGTCCAGGTCGACGAATACGGAGTCCGTATACGATCGTTTACGGCCATATACTGTGTCGTATCCGACCATCCACATGCCATATACGCTCCGTATACGACCGTATTTTGCCGTATTACATGGCTCAATACTACGATCGTATATCTTCGTGTCCGTATACTGAGAAATACGAAGAAAAACTGAGGCCTTATACGGAGCGTTTACGGTCGTAAACGATCCTTGTTGACTGTATACTGCATCCATCTATACCAACAATATACGGCCCTTCATCTCTCTACTCTTAGTCTCCTTACCCTATACTCCCTATTTTATACGTCTCCTTATACTGTGCCCTCTCCTTTAGACTACATCCTCTACCTGTAACCTTTATCCTATGACTTCTTCCTTATGCTTATATCCTCTAACCTATCCCCTATCTTATGTCCTCTACCTATATCCTCAGTGTTATGTGTTCTACCCTATGTTCCTACCCTATACCTACTATTAGTCTACACCTAACACCCTATATTTGCTATCCTGTACCTCTACCTTATATCAACTATTCTATGTCTCCTATCTTATGCCTACACTCTATATCCGATGTCCTGTACTATGCTCCCTACCATTCTATACTCCTACCATATGTTCCGTACCCTATGCATATATCACCTACTCTATATCGTCTGCTATACGCTGGCATAAGAAACAAAGTAAAGAGAAATATGTGGACAAAGACGAGGGAAGAATGAAGTAAAGGTTCGAGAAGCAGTATCTTCTGATACGCCGAAGATACCTTATCCTTCCTCGACTGTTGCATTAGTATTCGCCCGCTTCCTCTACAAATTTCAGAAGTTGGACCTACGGCGACCGCATACGACTGCTTACCACCACACAAGGTGATATACGGCCATCTACGACATAATTCCGTTTACGGAATAGATAAGTTTACCTTCTTATCGCTCAGATCTCCCTCCGCTCGCGACAGGCCTGGTCCTTTGTTGAGTTGTTCCTCCTTTTTCTAGTTTCTACCGCAGCTCCGGTAAATAGTTTTTACAGAATTTTTCTCAGGTAAAGTTTTTTCTATGGAACTTATTTGTAATATTTTATTTTTATTTCTTTATTCCGTTCGAATTCTGATTATCATTAATTGTGATCCGATCGCTAACTGTATTTTCACACTGATGAAACCAGACTTTCGAGTTCCTTGTGATAGTTGTTTTGATCTAAGTTTGTCAATATTGTGCTTTTACATGAGAGAGGAATAGTAGTGTACCAATAGTAGTATCAAATAGAGAAGGATAAGTAGTGTAGGGTGAGAACTAAAACTAAAAACTAAAATTGTTTTGAGTTGCTGTTCATGACTGAGATTATTTTTACTTGCTTTTCTGAAGAAAATTTAGAAAAAATGAACTTTAGAGTCGTCCATATATGATATGGGTAATTTCTTAGGTATATTTCATCTAGAGATGGGCACCAGGACTAAAAAAAATTTCTGTTCCCGGTAAAAGACTTGATTGCCGTTCCATTACCTTCACAGTTAAAATATTGCAAACCGTGCATTTTGTAGAGAAATGTTTGCTCTTTCAGCTTATATATTCTAAAATATATCGCGAATCTCTTTTATCAATTAATTTAGCAAATACATGACCAATCCGATCCCGGGACCAATCTGATCCCGGTCATTGTATTTGTCAAATTAATTCTTAACGAAGGCCTGTGGTATATTTTAGAATATATAAGCTGAAAGAGCAAACATTTCTCTACAAAATGCACGGTCAAATGATATTTTAACTGTGAAGGTAATGGAATGGCAATCAAATCTTTTACCGGGACCAGAAATTGTTTTGGTCCCGGTGTCATCCCTCCTTTCTTAAGACAATCAAAATCTATATTTCCGCTAGCCCCCTCCTTCTAAGGTGATTATATGATGTACGATCCTTTGAGAAATAACAACGCTCATTGAGACAAAACAGTGGTGAAAAGAGGGAGCTAATAGCTTTTTTAGCGTGACAAAAAATCGGTAATGATAAAAACATTTTTACCGGTTACCGCACATCCTGAACTTCAATGCGATATCTATCTACCCTATCGATCATCACAATCTCAACACTTACATGATAAATGAATTAACCAGTCAACGAAACACTCAACAACAAATATTGGAAGATGAGAACAGTTAGAAAGTCGATAATTGTATTCTATCTGAAAAGAAACAGACAAATTGATGGCGAAGCTTTTATCGAATTATACCTCACTATTCAATTTATATCTGCGATATGGTTGATTAAACAAGGTAGGCTACTTGTTTTTTGCCTTTTTTTCCTCTCATATATTCTTGGAGGACAAAGAAGATGCGGTCCGCTCGTATCCAACACGCTCTCTTGCGATTTTTTGACTGTAATTCGTCCGTGTCTTTAATATTTGAATTACGATGAAGGAGAGACTTACGCCACACAGAGACAGAGGTTAGATTCAAACCTTCTTTCTTGATTTAACTAAAAGGTGACGAGAAAATGTTGATAATACTTGATTTTTTTCTCTCTTGCTTTGATAATCTAAGGCCAGTAGTTGCTCTCTATAGCCACTGGACATGGTACTATACGCGTTTTTATAAGAAAAAAACTTGAAACTATTCAACATCGAAGTAATCAACTGTATGATGAACATATGGTTCAAATGTTACAAGTAAATAGAGTTCTTCCCATAAATATGAGAAATAGTTATTTCTTGCTTGATTTAGAGAAAATCAAAAAAGAAATTAAATGATCTAGATCCTGCTTGTGGTCAACAGGGTCCTTGCCTTTTACGAAATGTCGTATTTCAATATTGGTCCAAGTTTTACTTCTGATTCGCTTTATAATATATATTCGGGAACGTTCGTAAGGAAACATACAGCGATTTACATAAATAGTATTATTTACTTGTTACTATTATCTGATAGAAACGTTTACCAGACATATGGTTCACAAGTCGAGTTAATTCATACTCCATTAATAAAAAGTTCAATTTGATCGAAGTAAAATTGGACTCGATTCAATATCCTACGATCACATATCATTTACCATCGCAACTGAGATTTTATCAAACGTACAAAGGAAACGAATACAGATTTACATTACTGTTTGGCTATCAGTAAGTTTGTTGATGTGCGATGCGCGTAATATTCCTCTCTTCGATGAGACATAAAGCCAAAATACATTCTTCATCCGATATCTTTACAACTTCACATTTCTATAGCCCAGAAAAAGATATGCGAACAATTATCAATTACATAGCAATATAAATATTGCCCTTGTGCTAGAAATGTGACTCAGAGAAAAAAGTGAGTGATGTCAGAAATTCTTTTTGAGGTTTTGAAAAGGCGCACATACATATTTTTTCAAAACAGAAAGGATGTCGAACTTTTTTTTCATTGTAAGATCTTCTTTCGATAAAAAATACTATTTTGACTGGAAAAAGACAAGAATTTTCTAAAAATGGGGGAGTGTACACCCAACAATCATCAGATCCCTGCTGTATGCAAAAACTTACCTTAATGATGAAAACCATGATTTTTTATTTATATATAGGTATTTCAAGCCGATCTTACCTACGCGATACTACCAACATCTAAAGCTTTTGGCGTTCGCTATGAACTTCGCGGAATCATCTATTTTATACAATGATACAATTGAAAAAATCAACTGCTTACTTGATGAATCCGATCGTTTGTTTCCATTATTGTATCCAGTGAGTATATCACTTTGTAGATATATTCATAGCGCCGAACAACTTCAAATTTGATGATACACCCTCACCCTCCCCTCCCTGTTCAATTTATATCTCAGTTATGGTTGATTTCAATCTGAATATATTTCATACCCAAATAGACAAACTTTCTGAAACGCGGGTGTAAACACCGGAAAGTAGCCTTTTCGAACAAATAGTGGAGATAAAGTAAGCTAAGCTATTTCTGAAATAGCTTAGCTCACTTTATCTCCACTATTTGTCCGAAAAGGCTATGCATTTTTTCGTTGGAAGATTTCACTGCGTTAGTATAGGAATCAAGTATGTAGAATACTGTTTGGAACACGTTAATCGAATTGACAAGGCTTTTTTGTAGTTGAACATTGCTGGAAAAAGGAACACAAAAACAAGAAAAAACACAAACAACATTATTTGTTCTCATTTATATATTTGCTCAGAGTATCAGGAATCAATAAAGTATCACTTCCATTTGGATGTAAACCATCACGATGTAAATGTTCTGTAAATTTAAATTCAATTAAATCAAATTTAATTTTGAAGATTGAAGCTAATTCATAATCTTTTTTGTCGTAGTACCTAATACCAGTGTCAGTTAGTTTTCTTGCTTTTTCTTCATTCTCTGTCTCAATCAACAGCTTCCTGCAATGTGTATGAAATAAATTAGATAATGTTAGTGTAAAAGTAAAAAGCAAAGTGAGCAGGGTGAGTGTTGAAAGTGAGCGTTATTGAAAGCCAACCTTCCGAACGATAAGATTCCCCACTTGAAAGAATAAAATACGTAGAGCCGAGCTTATTCATTTTACTTGCTTTTTTGTTTTAACAGAACTGAGTACTTCTTTCATTTCTTTAATTCCATTTTGGATTTTTGGAATATACGGATGATCTGAAGAATTAATGTTTTCATATATTTTTAATGCTCTTATCAAGTTAATTAATGCTCCAGTATAAATTTTTTTATTAGATTGAGTTATAGCAACGCTAATATAGAGATCTGCAATATCTGTATCATCTGATGATAAGTATTTTAATTTAATAGATAATGCTTTTTTATAGTTAATTAATGCTTCACTATAATTTTTAAATTGATTTTTATATAGCAAACCAATGATATTATACGTACTAATAATCTGAGTAGGAGCTGTTAATCCTATTGTTAATGCATTTTTATAATTGACCAAAGCTAATTCATAATTTTCCGTCAATAAGTGCACATATGCAATACCCTGAAGTATTACTGCTTTCTCATGACAAGGATTGTATGCTGAAAGTAAATGACTTTCATAGATCTTTAATGCTTTTTCATGATTAAATAATGCTTCACTATAATTTTGAGTTTCTGCATGAACATTGGCAATAAGATAGTAGACCTTAGCAAGATCGAGATGATTTGACGGTATCAATATCAATACTTTCTCATAGTTAATCATAGCTAATTTATAATCTTTTCTTTGAGAGTGCACAGTTTCAATCACAGGATTTTTCTTATCTCTGGATGATTTAAGGACAGTGAGACAGCTTCATAGATTTCTAATGCTTTCTCAAAGTTGATCCTAGCTAATTCCTGATCATTACGCAAATCGTGTTATGAATCTTAATTTTTCCTAACTAATTAAGGCTTCACAATAATTTTGAAAATGTACTTCAAGTATAGCAAGATTTTTATACGTAGTTGCAATATCAGTATGATCTGGTGGTAAACACATAAGTTGAAGTACTAATGCTTTTTTATAATTAACAATTGCTAATTCATAATCTCCCTTCACATGATAAAGATGACCAGTATTATACAATGTTAAGCCGATTTTTGGATGATTTCCTGGCAATGAATTCATTTGAATTCGTACGCATTCATTATGATTATCAAGAGCTAAATTATATGTTCCTTGACATTGATACACAGTAGCAATATTATTATAAATGTTTGGTAGATTAGGATGATCATGACCAAACCTGTCTACCATTAAATCTAAAGCTTTGAAGAAATATTCTAATGCTTTATCATATTCTTCCTTAGACTGCATAAGAGCATCTAGGTTCACATAAATATGATGAATAAATTTTCGATTGCTGGCTGGTAACTTTGATTCTAATTCAATTCCTATCATATAATTTAAATAAGCTGTATCATAACCATAATCGATTTTGGTCGCATTTCCAAGATTCTTATAACATATTAAGATTATAATAGCATGATGCAATCTCAGGATCATTTTCTGATGAGGACAATAATTTTAATTTTCGGCGGAATTGCGATATGTAGTTTACTTTGAAAGATCTCTCTAGGTATCGACATTCTTGTATTTTTCCTCTTCATTGAATTTTCTGCTATTTATAAAGCTCTTCTTGTTTATTCTAACGGTTACATTAGTTTTATTGTTAGCCTACCCGGCAGTCTGTTCTTCTTTAAACGTTATGCCTCAACTGAACATACAATGGGCATCGAAGCGATATATTTCTTTCTTTTCTTCGCTTGAGTGCACAACATGATCCTTCGTTCAACAGTAAAGTATATGCAAAAAGAAATAAAATGGTCTGTGAGTAGGGACGAGAAAAGAAGCAAAAACTGCGTCTCTTATTTGATATAGAAATCAGCGATAACACATATACCAGTCATAGTTACTAACCCAATGAAGCGTGTTATCTTTTCTTTTTTATGAGAAGGAGAAAAACGCAGAGAAAAGGAAATTGTGTGTAGTGATGACTTTTGCTACTTCATCCACCCGCTTGGTCGTACTAGCTTACTGGCTCTTCTCGATGCGTGTAAGGCATCAATTCGGCCCAGTCCTCAAGGCATTAACTACTTTGCAGCTAATGCATCGTTCGCATTTGATAATTTAATCTCTCTAGTCGAAGACTTGGCCCTGAATATTAACAAGAAGTTAGTAGTTATATAATAGTTGATAATATTAAACGTACACGTATGTACCTCAAATCAGAGTACAAAGTTCACGTTAGTAAATCCTCAATAGTTGCCGCTCATATGCTCTATCTTCCCCAAAAGACAAAGATTGTTAACAAAAATGCGACCATAATCACGACGACGTATGTGACGAGTGTCAGAAACTTTCTACGGCATTCGAAACAATTGAAAAGGAAATCAACAGTAATATCGAAAATGAAGAATACCTAGACAGAATTATTATAAGAGTAAGTCAAATAAAGTGCATTATAAGTCTTAGTTTTAGCTGGAAAGTACTACTTTGGATGAGAAAGATGCGACATTGAGAAAAATTCGTTATTCAGGGCTCTAAACATGTTAGTAAACGTTCCTGAGCGGAGAACCATGGTCGGAGATTTCAGCAATAACTTTTGCATCGAGGCTTAGTCCTGCCGCTTGAAAAGCACTCTTTCTAATGTATATTTAGACTGCCATAATAAGACACGTAGAAAAATTTATTATTTGTCATTTAATCCGTTGTTAACATATCTTGACTGTCCGTCACCAACCTGTTTGTGTTCATATTTTTCCAAGCTTTATCAAGTTTTGTCACTGTTTTCCAGCATGAATTTTGCGTACTTTTTACCTTTGTTTAGCTTTCGCATATTGTGCAAACCATGCTCGGTTCCAACGAGCGGCAGTCGCGAATGAACTCTTTTCTGAATTTATTTTTTAATTTGTGGTTGTACTACATAAAAGTACTTTAGAAAAAAATTTTCCCATAGTCTTGCTCAAAAATTTTTCAAAATGTTACCGTACGGGACCAAAGGCAAAACGATGTCGAAAATTTTTTCTAAAGTACCCCGATCCAGAAGTTATTCTTGAAGTTTAAGCTTTGCTCTTTCAACCAGAAAAAGAGTGAACTTTCTACGATGTTCCTGATCGGGAAACCATGGCTGAAGATTTCGGTCCAAGACACAAGACATTTGATTGCCAAAATAAAGTATTTGTTTCATAACTAGTAGTCGTCAATTTCATTTTTACAAACGGGAACATTCTTTGATGGATATCCGAAACACCTGGTCGTGTGATAGGCTTTTTCGACAACTTCCACTTTTTTCGAGTTTTTCTACCGAGATTTTTGCTGAAAAGTTAAAGTTGTACAAAACGTCTGAACACGAGTCAGTCAATTCAGTTTTTGACGCTGTAACGAGATGTTACTAAAGTTTTCAAGTTTGCTGTCGTTGATGAAGATTCTTTCAACTTATAATATGACCGTTGTTAACGTTGCATAACGTAATTTGCTTTTATGCATTCTATCAGGTAATATTTTTCTGGATTTTTCTATAAATATGAAGAGAAAGAGACCTGTTTCAAGTACGACGAATATTGTGCTGAAAAGGTTCAATACATCTGTATAATATTTTTGTCAAGCTGAGAAAGGATATTTATACATGCTTGAACCTTGTTGATGAAACTAGCTATGTATTGGTAGCTGAAGCAGAAATTGAATAAGCGTAACTGTGATATTTTGAACAATAATGTAATTATTTTAACCTTTTCCAACCCTAATCAAGTTTAATGCCGAATGTAACATAAACAAAACGGTGTTAAGTAGAAAGTGATTAGTAGTTATTGTCACAAAGTTTTGTCCTATTTCAGACTGATACAAAGCAACATGTCGAAGACATATTCAATATATATTACTCATCTTTATCCGAATCATACGATTTGGAACTAAAACAAATTGCGTTTCATACTTTCATCTGCTTTCAAAAATGGTTGTACTGCCAACTCCATTGTAACAGAAGGAAACGCCTAATTTAGTGTAGCAAACATTTTACCTGCATAAAGGCTGCATAACATTTCGTTCGCATGTTTATACGTTTTACAGACGGCTACATTTAATATCTGTAGCTGTAATAATCGAATTACGTTCAAATATTTTATCATACAATTCAATTGCATCGATAGCAGATTGGAGAAAGTGCATATTTTATGTCACCACTTGAATTTGTCTTAAGTATAAAGACGGAGCATCAATGTTGTACATCAACGAACAGAATGCGTTAGAGCAACATCTGATGGTTGTTGATAACATCAAATCTTTTTTTGATAATGATAATGAATGTTTAAACATTACTTCAATTTTTAGTTGTAAACGCATTGAACTTTTTTCTTCCAATGTGATGTTATTTGTTGACGCTTTGATAAACTGGACGACTGGCTCACAGTCGTCTAACATGACACATACGTCGGGATCGATGGAACCACAACACTGCCAAACTGACCATTGATAACTATGTAAATAATAACAGATACTGTTTGCATAAGCACCAGTCATCTATAAATACCAAGAAAAGAACAAAACCCTATAAGAAGCCCAAACAAAAGCAATTGTATACTCCTCTATTAAGAGACCTTTGAATTTCCAGGTTTCTAGCTATATCCTGGAATTTCGCTCAGGCTGTTTAGAATCGTATACCTGAAAGTCATAGTTTTGTATTTAGATTCGAATAGCATTCTAACGTGAAAATTTGCTAATAGCAGGATCTAAATGAATCATGACTAAATATTAAGATCTTATATGGTGGGAGGATCCTAGCAGAAAACTGACAGAAAGTGCGCAGAATTTTGTCTAATGGGTTGTCTGTATATAAACTAGTTTGGAACAGTCATTTAAATCAGGTATTACTCCTATTTGATGTATCTGTATCTCAAACAATGTTTATGAACGATTTATAGGTTCATTAACGAGTGTGATTGATGTTTATTCAGAACAGAAAGTTAGTGATGAAAAGTACGATCTGTGTTTCTTCCTTTACATTGATATAGCAGACGAACATCGAATAAACATTTGGAGAGGATATAGACCAAAAAAGATATCTACATTTTCTTCGTCCTTCAATAATAATTAAAAACAAATTTCTGTTCACAGCAAATCCGAGTGACGATTTACTGTCCGTTGATTAGCTAAAAGATATATTCCAATTAGCCGTTTTCTTGTATGAGGATTTACTTTCCGTTGATTATTTAGACGAAGAGAAATGAGCAAACGAGTAGTCATTACGACAATATATCTGATAAAAAATAGATGGACACGTATAAAATGTACCATCACTGTACCAATGTTCTTGTTGCGATAAATAAATCATATCACTATAGGAGGAAAAAGCCAGCGAATGAATACCACCAAGTGGCCTTATTGTTATCCTCTTTACTAACTTGAATCATACTTTCTAAGTCGATACGATAATTGCCAATTTCCGCTTGTTTTGCATTTTGTTGATAAGCGTGTTCAAGAATTCCATTTTCTATATCGGAATATTCCTTCCATTCTTCTTCATTTAGTTCTGCTAATAATGGGTTTATATTTGCCTTCCAACACCAGCGACGCTCCCAAACTTGTTCCTCGTCTTTTAATTGTAAATCTACCATTTACGATTCTTGTATACTTTAGCGAATATAAAGTATCTACAAGTAAGGTCAAAAACACAATTACCGTAGTGTTGGTTATCATTATATAAATGGACCAATCGTATGCCCATGGTCCAATCACAGTTTTGGTAATAAATCCACCATATCTCTTGTTCGTAAGTACCGATTGACTTGAAAATTTTATCAAATATTCTTCCCACTGCATCGCTACACTTCCGAAAGTTTCAGCTTCTAAATAAACTCTGATTTCGACTTACGTGCGTTGAAAGTAGAAATGGCAACGCAAACGGACCCTTTATTCAGACGAACCATGTTTATTTCAACTAAAAAAAGATTTATTTTTCCACGTCCCTCTTGTTCTCGTTGGTAACAGTACGAAGAATAAATAACTAGGTGCTTTTTTATTTGAAAAATAGATCGACAGAAAACGATTCGTCTCGATGTCATTTGCAAATTATTTTTTATAAATCTGAAAATTCAATCGTCTATTGAGAATCTTTTGCAAATGTTTCTGAGTGGATCACAGAACGGTCACCTGTCGAACAAAATCAGTATGATTTCTGTTAGGCGTAGCAAGTAAAGTTTGAAATGCCCTTTGTTCCGTTTTAGCTTTAAAGTAGGTAATCAGACGTTCTGTAACTGTTCTCAAACGCTCGTTGACAGCGGAGCAGAATACATCCTTGGGCCAATTGACGTAGTGATCAGCATGCACAAATTATTGGGTATTTCAGCCGACATAGTACCTTGGGGCCCACCATTCGATGATGAAAACACATCTGAACCTTTTGACAATCGTGACTTCTCAGGACATCAAGTATAAATCGAGTTCTCATGTTTGGAATGTGAAAACTTGAGTGAACTGGAGTGGAGAAAGAGTGTAAAAGTGATGTGACTCTAGGATAATTTTATTCGCACTTCTTGCGGAGACCGAAATGGATCAGAGGTATTCGGCCGGATCGAATCCGTTTTAGCTGCTTATGTGACAGGCATATATACAGATTTTATGCAGTCAGTTTGTGCTACTAATAAAGCGCACAGCAAAGAAGAAGAGGTTATTATCAGAGGAAGAAACGTCAGAGAGAGATTTGCTTATGTATGTGTTTGGCCTCTGAAATGTTGTACTTATATTTATTAATAGGTTTTGCAGTTTGCAGGTTATATTTCTGGAAGACTAAAGCTCAGACATCTTTCTTATTGGTTCACTATACTAGTCTAGAGATGATAGCCATTGTTTGTTTTTCGTTGTAGTTTGCGGTTGATTGTAATTCTGTGTCGACATTGCCGAATATAACTATAAGCATCGGCAACAAATTATTTACATTCGACAATTCAATGTATATTTCACGGTTAAGAGTACGCAATAAATGTTATAGCAGTATTGGTGTTCTATCGTCAAACTACAGAAGACAAACCAATAGAAGTTGGATATTTGGCAATGTTTTCTTCAATGGGGTCTATACTGTGTTTGATTACATGAACCAACATATAGGTTTTGCTACACCAAGACATTCGCATCCATAAACCATATACAAAATGAATTCTGATCCACGTCTCCTGAAACAACTGGTCAGGTTGAAGAACCGTCCGGTCGGTCTATAAGTTTTCTGCTAAGGATTCGGATAATAAACATGTCAGGCAAAAATGTTTGCAGATCGGTGAAATGCCGGTAGTTAGATTTTTATGCATGTGTGCGTTGTTATTCTTTTCTGTCTATTTTCATATTCATTTACAGGCGTAGATATCTGATCTTGATTGGAAT